TGTCCTCTGTGCGTCACGCCAACACGACCATCTAATCTACCAGCCATAAAGTTAGGCTTCAATTGTCCAATATCGCTCAGACTAAAAGCCATTAAGTACTCTTTCAGAATCTCCTGATAAAGGTGACCAATAGTGAAAAAATACACAAACACCAAGCTAAAGCTGAACACAAACACTCATTACAGAGAAATAAAAACACCACACTGCAACCAACCAGGTTTAGCTGCGTCACTATTCTTCATCATGATCGGAATATAGTCCTATTGTTTCTATCAGACAGGCATGTGACTGACTGGATGCTCTGCAAAGATTTCATTTGTGCTTCTATCTTTAACAACGTGACAAAGAAGCTGATTTTTGTTTCATCAGCTGATGCATTTAAAAAAAATCACCTTTTTCAAGAAATACAGCAGCTATTTCAAGCAGGCTGCAATGATTACCTGCTGTAAGAATATGGAGTGTGTGTGATGCACTCTGCATAAGGGACAAGGTGCTGAACACATTTAATTTCACCACCTGTGAAGCCAGGACGAGCACCACCAGTGATTTGTTTATTACAGCCAAGCAAAGGCTGGAAGGCCCCTGCAAATCAGTGCACTGCAGTGTTAAGACAAAGCAAAAATAACTGCTTCCAGTCATCCGACTGACCCTCTGCTTTTTTAAAATCATCCGAACTATTCCTGTCAAAGACTTGACATTTTTTAACCCGTCTGCCATACTCTGCCCTTGGTGACCGCGGCCTGGAACAGGTTTCACGCGAGAAAAAACGGGAGGCGTCGCTCACCGCAGCGAACTTCGAACCCGCAACGGAACACTTTCCAAATGTGTGTCCTGGAGTGAAAATGCGGGACACAACACAGCACCACTGTGCTGCTTTCTGTCTTGGGAAGAAGCCTCTCTAGTCACGTCACAGAGATGGCTTCCATGCGAGATGTACACACGAACCGCTTTAACCTGTCCCACAGTGCTGTGCAATACCCCCAAAAGCACCCTCCTGTCCTAACTGCATTCCATTCCATCATACAGGCTCGTCGTCAATTACCTGACCTCCACCATGTGCCGAACTACAATAATGACACAACAACACTTTTCAGAAGAGAACAGAGCTGGATTACAGATCCCAATTTTAATCAACAAGATCATTACGTTGCAACATGGTGTTTGAGCTCCCTCGCTCACATTCAGAAAAAAACAAAAGACCCTTTTTGGAGAGGTCGACGGGGAAATGTTTCCTAGGACTAAAAAATGAGGTCATGCATGCTGCATCATCATCGGGGGACCATGGGGGTCTCCACTTACAACCTCGATGCAATGAGGGTGACGGCCCGCATGACATCACAGGCTGCGGACACGCGGACACGCTGCACGTCAAATGACAGGCAGGCCCGACCAAAGGAGCTACACGAGACACACGCCCCTCGGGCTTGGCCGCAAGAAAACCAAAGAAATGCAAACGTATCACAAGCTCCCTGCAGCTATCACTGTTTTCTTACTCTCATGCAAAACACTGACGAGTAAATATCCACAAAAGCTACTTGAAGTCCATCAGTTCCAGGCCCTTCTCTGAGCAGTGACATTAACTACAATGGAACCATTTCAACACATTAGACTGTGGGTGTGTGTTTGCACTCAAGTAAGTAAGGTTTTCTTTTAACAGCTGGGCTATTCCTGGAGGCCCAGACGTATCAGACACCACAGGGCTTTCAGGAGAGCTCTACTGGTGACTCACCTTAGCGAATGCCGTAGGCCTGACAGAACAAGGCTCAGCACCGTGCAGACCACTGACAACAGCTTCCTCTGCTGCGGCCTTTGATGTGATGCAAAGGGTACTGGGGGAGGGGCAGAGTCATCACAGACTTCTCAAAGCACACCAGGGTGTCAGTAACACCTGGCATTTTAGACATCAGTGACGAGCCATCTCACATCGGCAGCGAAATCCCTGGAAAGCAGGGGTCTCAAACCTTGATCCTGGAGAACTCCAGTCCAGCATGTTGTACAGTCTGCCCTTAAGCAACACATTTTTAAAAGCCCGGAAAGACAATCAGGTGGCACGTTCAATTAAGTCGTTTAGGGATCGTTGGGAACAAAACTCAGACATTCCTTCAGCCCTGAACCACCAGTGCTCCTTTCCCTGAAACTTTACTTGATTGTTTAAAGAACAACTGATCAGATGAGCTTGAACTGTTTCACTGAAGGTGGTGTAGGATGGCTTATACACATATCTGGGTTGGGACTCTCCAAAACCAGGGATAGAGATGCATTTGAAATGTTTCTTCAGTGTAAAGGATTTATGCATGAATATATACACACACAAACATTAAATCGTGCTCTTCTTCATGGCACGTAAGAAAGATTCCCTCCCACAGACAGATATTAGGCAACAGATGCCCACGGTCTGTGTGGAAACCGGGCAGCGAAGCAGCCTGTGCTGAAAGCAGCTCACTCAGGCAGAGACGCATGTCCACCGCTGGACACCCGGCGTCCCCAGTGAGTGGACCCGCGTGCGCGGGGGCACCGGGCCGCTCTCTCCTGGCAGAGAGGCGAGCTGCCGCCCCTCGTATTCCGACCGAGCAAGGGGCCGCGGATCCAGGAGCAGCGCGGCGCCCAGAGCCAATCGGATCAATCAGACGGCTTTGGTGCCAGGAGAGCACTGGCCACACACCCGGATATTACGAGCTGTTCCGTCATGAATCCCAGCTGCTCCCAGCTCATCTCACCAAGGCTCACCATGTGGCGGACAGAGAAACACCACGCAAAATGAACTTTCCCCCATTTATTTGCACACTTCATCCCAGGATCGACCTGCGCGCAAGGACAAGCACTTGCACGCCAACCTAGTTTGCTCACTAATGCCAAGCTCCCAGCGTCCCTCCTAGAAACACATTCATACTGCATTCAGAAAGAAGAATAATCGGATACCCCACAAGTGTTTAAGAACTCCCCCCTTGACTAACATTTTCAGAACCTACACAATCTTTCATAGTTCCACAAATGGCAAAAAAAAACGTCCCCAATCCAAAACTACTGTAGTTTTGTTTTTAAAAATGTAGTTCATTTTTAATCAGCCTGCTGGCCAGTATGACTAATCAATCGTCAGCTGACGGTGCCTCACAGGAGGCCTTGCTGGAGCTGTAGTAGGGGGCTATGTTAGCCACTGGGGGTGTGTGGGTTCACAGCCAAGTCCCTGCCAAGCTGGATGAACCCCTCCCTGTCCAATCTCCTGCTGCTCCCTGGGGAAACCCCCTCATTTCCGGGTCACGGAGCACAGCCGAGGCGCTCACCGCCTGCATCTCCGCCACGGCGCTCCGAGCTCCGAGCCAGTGCCCTTACTGACCGATCCGCCCAGAAACCTGTTTAACTTGAACCTGGAGAACAGCTTCCACTAGCGTAACCCCACACCGGGTACACCTCCCAGCTTGTGACGTGCATCCAATCAACCAAAAGAACAAAATTAACAAAAAAAGGACGGATAATCCTACTACAGAAATCTAGATCCTTCGAAGGGTTACGCTGACTAACCGCGCTGGTCTGGCATCTTTTCCAGCTCTCGGTCCTCTCGCGGGATCAACAGGGCCCCGTGCCGAATGTCAGCTCTACTGGGTGCCAGGCTTTGTGACAACAGGCTGCACCCCAGCACTTTCCTTTAAAAGAGCAGGTCCCCCACGCCCCACCAGGCTACAGCAGTCTGCTGAGTCAGTGGTGGACAAATGTGACCCAGACCACCTTGGAATACTGTGCTTCACACTAAAAGCTCATTTGTACGTCCATCAGCATTCACCAAATACCCTTTTCCATGCCGAGCATCATAGTAAAATATTCAGCTGTTGTTTGCACAGAAGAGGGTTCAGCTTATCTGTACCGAGAGAAGCCTAGTATAGGCAGTGTCACACGACTGGTGCACGTGGTGAAGCAACACACACATGCAGTCTTTCGCAATTACAGAGAACTGGCATTTTGTCTTTTTGTACATTAATAAGCACAAGTAAGCAGCTCTCCGTGAGCCCTGGTCAAACTAGTGGAGAGAACTGACCCACCGATAATATTCACGAATGAAACTCGGGAACGGGGGCGCAGAAGTAGCTGTTTTGTCCAAGAAGAGTGCCTCCAGTCAAATACCACCACACAGAGAGACTGCAGTCTGATCAAGTGCATTAGACACAGTGCACAGCTGATAGCCTTCCACGGTAATTGTCTGTGCAGATAAAGCATTACGTCACTCGTTATTTAACGGTCCGAGCAATGACACAGCTATAACAACGGCTTTGGGTCCCATCAACGGAGAGCACAAGACACACTGCTAATATCTCCACAGTCCATGCTTTCTTCTTCAGTGCTCCACAACTATTTCATCTGGATCAATAGGTTTTCTTTTGGGCCTCTAGCACTGCGCGATGTCCTGACGATCGGACCTTGGACCCCAAAAGACCAGAAGCGCTCCCCTCTCACCAGAACCCTCAACGCATTGGCTGGTGATCTCTTGCCTCTGCCGCAGCATTTACCCACAGCAGCCGTGCACACCCCAGAGACAGCACCCCCTCTCTGCGCAGTCCGCCCTGCGTACCTTTCACACATATTGCCTGCAGCTCGATCACCCTGAGACTCCCAGCTGGCAGCCCACTGGAGCTCAGCAGGCGTGAGCCTGGCCAGTACCTGGATGGGAGACCTCCTGGGAAAAACTAGGGCTGCTGCTGGAGGAGGTGTTAGTGGGGCCAGTAGGGAGCGCTCACCCTGCAATCTGTGTGGGTCCTATCGTCCTGGTACAGTGAGGGGGGCATGATACTGTAGAAAGGGTGCTGTCTGTCAGATGAGACTTAAACCTGAGGTCCTGACTCTCCATGGTCATTAAAAATCTCAGGGCCTTTCATAAGAAGAGTAGGGGTGTTCACCCCAGCATCCTGGCCAGATTTCCCCCTGGCCTAAACATGCATCTCATTGTGCAAACTGGCAAACGTGAACAGAGTCCAGGAAAGCGCTACACAAGTGTAAGGATTATGACTTACAGAGGGATGTGCCGCTGCTCAATGTCCACTTTGGTCAGCTCCTCCTCCTCGACGTCCGTCTCGCCGCCCGAGCTGCTCTCGGTGACGTC